GTAAAACACCTGTAGCCAGAGTAAGACATCTGTTGCCAGAGTAAGACACCTGTAGCCAGAGTAAGACATCTGTTGCCAGAGTAAGACACCTGTAGCCAGAATAAGACATCTGTAGCCAGAGTAAGACACCTGTAGCCAGAATAAGACATCTGTAGCCAGAGTAAGACACCTGTAGCCAGAATAAGACACCTGTAGCCAGAGTAAAACACCTGTAGCCAGAGTAAGACATCTGTTGCCAGAGTAAGACACCTGTAGCCAGAATAAGACATCTGTAGCCAGAGTAAAACACCTGTAGCCAGAGTAAAACACCTGTAGCCAGAGTAAAACACCTGTAGCCAGAGTAAGACACCTGTAGCCAGAATAAAACACCTGTAGCCAGAGTAAGACACCTGTATCCAGAATAAATCACCTGTAGCCAGAGTAAGACACCTGTAGCCAGAATAAATCACCTGTAGCCAGAATAAAACACCTGTAGCCAGAATAAATCACCTGTAGCCAGAGTAAGACATCTGTAGCCAGAGTAAGACACCTGTAGCCAGAGTAAGACACCTGTAGCCAGAGTAAGACACCTGTAGCCAGAGTAAGACACCTGTAGCCAGAATAAAACACCTGTAGCCAGAATAAAACACCTGTAGCCAGAGTAAAACACCTGTAGCCAGAGTAAAACACCTGTAGCCAGAGTAAAACACCTGTAGCCAGAATAAAACACCTGTAGCCAGAGTAAAACACCTGTAGCCAGAGTAAAACACCTGTAGCCAGAATAAAACACCTGTAGCCAGAGTAAAACACCTGTAGCCAGAATAAAACACCTGTAGCCAGAGTAAAACACCTGTAGCCAGAGTAAAACACCTGTAACCAGAATAAAAATACACAACAAATAAAAAGTGCTTATATATGACACAGTAAAGTCTACTTGGCAAAGCAAGTATCGTGTCATCTACACAAAAGCCAAGACTGAACAACAACATTTCCACAGCAGACTATACAAAAGCAGGGCGGAAAATGTCTTCGAAAAGAGGAAGAATGGCATCAAGACGAAGCTTGAGCAGGTGCAGTTACATGCTGACAAATGTGCCGCTCTGAGCCTCGGAAATGACGGAGTAACCATGTTGTTGTTATACATTCAGCTACTCGGAACAAATTCCAAGTAGCACGGGCTATGGTGAGCCCGTAGTGAACTTATCTGGCACAGGAGCGTGGCAAGTAGCACGGGCTATGGTGAGCCCGTAGTGGACTTGCCTGGCACAGGAGCGGTGCTATGTGTTCGGAGTAACGATTGATTGATTGATTGATGAAGATTAAGCCACCCAAAAGGTGGTACGGGCATGAATAGCCCGTAAGTGGTGGCCCTTTTGAGCCCTTTCCAGTATCAAGAGCTGATACTGGAGATCTGTGGAGGTGCGACTGCACCCTGCGTGACGGGAGATGTCTCCCGTCAGAGTAACCGATTGATAAAGATTAAGCCACCCAAGAGGTGGCACGGGCATGAATAGCCCGTAAGTCGGAGTAACCAGTTTCCTCCATTCTTATATTCTTATATCACCTCACGAATTAAATATCACTTCGCCAAAGTTAGGCGACACGTCGCCAAATTAAAAACGCCGTTCAAACTACCTGACCTGGGCAGCGGGAGTTGAGGAACACCGATACTTTTCCCTATACCCAAAACCCGTAAGTTTTCACTCTCCAAAACTTCTCGAATCTCAGCGGAATATTCGAAGGTTGAAGATCATTATCCTATATATTGACTGGTGTATATATTGGTGTCCCAGAGGGCATACGCCTCTCCTGTTGCTTCACCCAGCAGGTAATATTTCCCCGGGTGCTTGGCTGAAAGGCGGCTGAGTAGACAGCGTTCGGGACTCGTAGTCCGAAGTTTCTGGATTCGATCCCCGATGGAGGCGGAAACAAATGGGCAGAGTTTTTTCCACCCTAATGCACCTGTTTACCTAGCAGTAAATAGGTACCTGGGAGTTAGACAGCTGCTACGGGTTGCTTCCTGGAAGTGGTGTGTGTGTTTTGTGCGTGTGTAGGGGGGGGGATTAGTTAGTAGTTAGTAACAGTTGATTGACAATTGAGAGTCGGGCCGAAACAGCAGAGCTCAACCCCCGCAAGCACAACTAGGTGAGCACAAACACACACACACACACATCAACAGGAACCTGTACACCTGTGTATTGACGGTTGAGAGGCGGGACCAAAGAGCCAGAGCTCAACCCCCGCAAGCACAACTAGGTGAGTACAACTAGGTGAGTACACACACACACAAACACACACACACACAGATCAATACGCGCTTGTCGTACATCAGCGAACATCTTCCAGCAACCATAGTGCTTGGATAACCACCCTCCAACGACTGAAATCTCCCCCTCCTACCCCCCCCCCCACACACACACACTCCTGGACCCTCCCCAGTAACGACTCTCTGTGAGTAACTCTGCTAAGTTACCAACGAAACAAACAACGCGAATCACAAGAACATTCCAGCAACGGCAGAAGGCTTATTGGGCCATACAAAGTCCCACACACATATATACACTACACCCACCCAAGTGCCAACAAGCCTGAATGGTCCCCATGCATATATGCAACTGAAAACTCACACCCCTGAAGAGACTCGAACCCATACTGACAGGAGCAGTCTGCAACTGGTGTACAGGACCCCTTAACCACTCGACCATCACGACCGGATATACCCATCCAAACTCATTCATGTATATTAACAACCAACAACTGTGTCTAGAAACTTCTCTAAAAAGCTTTAGCTAATTTGCCATTTTCGTTGACAGGAGAAACCCAGAACACATATTTATTAATAACACCTTTAATGACAAAATTAATTACAATTTTGTCTATGTTTCTAAATCTATATTAAACAATATATAATTATAAAGAGTAGGCTTTCTGCTCGTAATATGACCTCTTAGATAAAAAAAAATGTATTGTAATTTTGTATAAGATTAATTACAAACATTTAAACATTAATGAATAAAGTTTTTCACTTTGAATTTTAATTTAATTAATGTTACCTGAGAAAAGTCTACAAGTAAATGCAGGTATATATAAGGCTAATTTGTACGTATCTGAGGGCAAAGAATTATTAGTTATGATACGTAATTGAAGGTCGGGGTGATTTATTTTCGAATCCCTTAACGTTTAAGCAGGTCAGAGAACATTTTTGTTCTCTCATATTCTCAGAATCAGTGCACGAGTCTGACAGTCTTACGGTCTGCTAGTCTGTCGGTCCAATAGTCTGAAGGTCTATTGGACCCCCATGAGAGAACCCCCCCCCCCCCATCCCCAACACACACACCCACCCACGCAGCTCAGCTAACAAGATGTTCTCGACTTTAAAAAGAAAAACAAAACAATGAAGTAACAGATGAGTTGTTCTACAGTCTTATGATCAGATATGTTCTGAGCCCTTCTGCCCCTCCCTTGGCCCAACGGGATACCATGCTCATCAAGGTCGATCTTTCCATCTCTACCGACGACGTCTTGGCCCTTGTGAGCCGTCAGCCACGCCTGGCTCTTGAGCCCCTTCTGTCCGGAGGGTGTGTGAGTTCCACGGCCAATTGCATCTTAAATTTTCTTGGTTTAAACAGTTTGAAAATCGTGTAGGAATGGGGTTGTTAGGGGTGTTGTGATGAGTGGTGAGACGAGGCGTTTAGCGCTCATTATTTCTGATATAGCCACCCGTTATATTTTCCATTAGGCTGTGAGGTGAATAGCGTTTAATTTACAGGGTTGGTGTGTGTGTGTGTGTGTGTGTGTGTGTGTGTGTGTGTGTGTGTGTGTGTGTGTGTGTGTGTGTTGCTTTACTATAGTGTATATAAATATATTTTCTTAAATACACGAATTAATTAACGATCATACTATCCAAGCTCATTTACAATTATCAATTACATTAGCCTCATAAGCTTCTCTTCAGTCAATCATAAGGACACAAGACTCAATCAACTTCAACCTTGAGCTGAACAACAAAACAGACATACTCCAAAGCTCGAGTAGAATTTCAGCCTTAAATAACAAAGATTAATATACAAAATAAATGACTTCGGATACATATTTCTGAACGTGTCTGGACACGTATCCCTGAACGTGTAATGAATGTATCACTGGTATATATATATATATATATATATATATATATATATATATATATATATATATATATATATACACACCGGAAATGAACCCAACCAACCAACCTGTAACCTATTCAGGCCGATGTATGGGTAAAGCCAATATTACGGCGCTTTAAATTAAATTAACAATTAGCATTTTGAAACGATTGGTCGATTCCGTAATATTTGCAACGAATTTGGCAAGAGGGCGGGTTGATTTGCGAAGCAATACGCCATCAACACACTACTCGGGCTCCCCCCCCTCACCCCCAATCCCGACCCACATACCAATAGTCCTAAATAAACCTCTAACTGCCTTGTTTGACGTGTAAAGCCATATACAACCCACACACCTGCAGGATGAGGCGGAGCCCCCCCTCTCACTCGACAGGCAAACAATCACTGCTAACTAACTAACAATCAATAACTGGTCAATAAGTTGGTAGTAACTTAGAGATGTGTCTAGAGATGATATCACCGCCTCTCAAGACCAGAGATGATATCATCGTCTCTCAAGGCCAGAGATTCTATCATTGTCTCTCAAGACCAGAGATGATATCATCGTCTCTCAAGACCAGAGATGATATCATTGTCTCAAGACCAGAGATGATATCACCGGCATTCAAGACCAGAGATGATATCATCGTCTCTCAAGACCAGAGATGATATCGTCTCTCAAGACCAGAGCTGCTATCACCGCCCCTCAAGACCAGAGACGCTATCACCGCCCCTCAAGACCAGAGATGATATCACCGCCCCTCAAGACCAGAGCTGCTATCATCCCTGGTCTAATGAAACATCTCCACTAAACGCCTGGTGATGGATGGCCAGAGGATGATTAATGCTATACCGGACACCGGTCGACATCGCTCATCCGGATTCATCCACATCGAGACCACACACCCGGTGCCGATTATCGAGGTCCAATCGACACAGACTCGACCCAACGATTAGATATAAAACAACAAACAAATGCAATGGGGGTGACGCCCAGCTAATCTTGCCGGGATTAGGGTCCAAGACCTGGGGAAAAGAATCATCGCTACTCTATAAACAAACTCAAATGCAAACCAGCCTATCCCAACTCATTCTATCCTATCCTAATGGGATAAAAATTCAGTAGAACTTCTGGTTGCAATTCTTTTGACCATGTCGTAGCTCAGTCGTTTAAGACAGCGTCTGGGATGCTCTCGGACGTAGGTTCGAATCCTCGTCACGGCCCTTGTGGATTTGTTCAGTGGGATAAAATGTTGTACTCACCTAATTCACCTAATTGTACTTGCGGGGGTTGAGCTCTGGCTCTTTGGTCCTGCCCCTCAACTGTCAATCAACTGGTGTACAGGTTCCTGAGCCTACTGGGCTCTATCATATTTACACTTGAAACTGTGTATGGAGCCAGCCTCCACCACATCACAGGATGTGCACTTGGTTTGTGACATCACTATGACGTCACAATGTTCAAGGGGGTTACAGGTTTTAGACTCTACTGGGAGATCCTGCCGGAGGGGGAGGGCGTGGCCTCATAAGATACCTCCAGAGTCTTCTCTCAGTGTTTTTATGGGGCTCAGTTGGGATTGAAATGTTTATTGGAGCACATGTTAGCTTATTGGTAATTAAAATTTAATGTGGAGTGGGGGAGTGAATGATGGGGTGGAGAGGGGGGAGGGGAGCAGGGATGAATGATGGGGGTTGTGGGAGAGGAGGGGGGAGCGGTGGAAGGGGGTAATGATGGGGTGGGGAGAGGGTGGGGTGCGCTGTCATGGGTAGTGGTGACGTCACGGGGGATAGAGCAGGGGGGGGGGGGGGTTGGCATGGGCACCAGCTGTAGGATGATCAAGTTTGAAGCCGGTGACGCTGACATATGGTAGTGGACAATATGATCCTTGTGTGTGTGTGTTCTCATCTACTTGTGCTTGCGCGGGGTTGAGCTCTGGCTCTTTGGTCCCGCCTCTCAACCGTCAATCAACTGGTGCACAGGTTCCTGAGCCTACTGGGCTCTATCATATCTACATTTGAAACAGCCTCCACCACATCACTGCCTAATGCATTCCATCTGTTAACTACTCTGAAACAAAAAAGTTCTTTCTAACGTCCCTGAGTACCCAAATGGCTCATTTGGGTACTCAGTTTCCACCTGTGTCCCCTTGTGCTTGTACCACCCGTGTTAAACAGTTTATCCTTATCAACCCTTTCAATTCCTCTGACAATTTTGTAGGTAGTGATCATGTCTACCCTTACTCTTCTGTCTTCTAATGTCGTGAGGTGCATTTCTCGCAGCTTTTCTTCGTAACTCATGCCTCTTAGTTCTGGGACTAGCCTAGTGGCATATCTCTGAACTTTTTCCAGCTTCGTCTTGTGCTTGACAAGGTACGGGCTCCATGCTGGGGCCGCATACTCCAGGATTGGTCTTACATATGTGGTATACAAGGTTCTGAATGATTCCTTACACAGGTTCCTGAAGGCAGTTCTAATGTTAGCCAGCCTCGCATACGCCGCAGATGTTATTCTCTTGATGTGGGCTTCAGGAGACAGGGTTGGTGTGATATCACCCCTGTCTCCTGAAGCCCACATCAAAAGAATAACATCTGCGGCATATGCGAGGCTGGCTAGCATCAGCTAAGTGTGTGTGTGTGTGTACTCACCAATTTGTGCTTGCAGGATCGAGCATTGGCTCTTGGATCCCGCCTTTCCAGCCATCGGATGTTTACAGCAATGACTCCTGTCCCGTTTCCCTATCATACCTAATTTTAAAAGTATGAATAGAGTATGAGTGTGTGTGTGTGTGTGTGTGTGTGTACTCACCTAGTTGTGCTTGCGGGAGTTGAGCTCTGGCTCTTTGGTCCCGCCTCTCAACCGTCAATCAACAGGTGTACAGGTTCCTGAGCCTATTGGGCTCTATCATATCTACACTTGAAACTGTGTATGGAGTCAGCCTCCACCACATCACATCATGTGTGTGTATGTGTGTGTGTGTGTGTGTGTGTGTGTGTGTGTGTGTGTGTGTGTGTGTGTGTGTGTGTGTGTGTGTGTGTGTGTGTGTGTGTGTGTACTCACCCGAGAGCTGCACTCACCGACGCGGGCTGAACCAGCGACCCAGCCGTCGACTCACGACAGATAATCCCCTAACTACAGCTGAGTGCACACACCTGTCTATAATCACTTACCCTAAAGAGTCTTAAGTCAAGAGGAGATTAGCACCAGATGACTAATTGCCGGTGAGTCAGAGCTTGGCTTGACTGGGTTGACTAGAATGGGTTGAATAGACTGCCTTCAGTGGGTTGAATAGACTGCCTTCAGTGGGTTGAATAGACTGCCTTCAGTGGGTTGAATATACTGCCTTCAGTGGGTTGAATATACTGACTTCAGTGGGTTGAATATACTACCTTCAGTGGGTTGAATATACTGACTTCAGTGGGTTAAATAGACTGCCTTCAGTGGGTTGAATAGACTGTCTTCAATGGGTTGAATAGACTGCCTTCAGTGGGTTGAATAGACTGCCTTCAGTGGGTTGAATAGACTGCCTTCAGTGGGTTGAATAGACTGTCTTCAGTGGGTTGAATAGACTGCCTTCAGTGGGTTGAATAGACTGTCTTCAGTGGGTTGAATAGACTGCCTTCAGTGGGTTGAATAGACTGTCTTCAGTAGGTTGAATAGACTGTCTTCAGTGGGTTGAATAGACTGCCTCAGTGGGTTGAATATACATACTGCCTTCATTGGACTGAATAAAAGCCAAATGTTTGAATGTGCAAGTGAATGATTGAAGGATTGAAGTAGGTGGAATTGAGTATGGTATGAAGGTTCGATTGAATTGACTGTGTGTACCAATAATAGGACCGACACACACACACACACAAACAAATGGGCAAAGTTTCTTTCACCCTGAATGCCCCTGTTACCTAGCAGTAAATAGGTACCTGGGAGTTAGTCAGCTGTCACGGGCTGCTTCCTGGTGTGTGTGTGTGTGTGTGTGTGGTGTGGAGAGAGAGAGAGAAAAAAAAAGTAGTTAGTAAACAGTTGATTGACAGTTGAGAGGCGGGCCGAAAGAGCAAAGCTCAACCCCCGTAAAAACACAACTAGTAAACACAACTAGTAAACACACACACACACACACACACACACACACACACACACACACACAATTGTAGCATCATCGATTAGAAAAAAAGCATTAGATCAGATTACACTTAAAGCCAATTATATCAACACTACAAAACCAGCTTTGAGCAAAAAAATCAAAACATTCATCGTAAGCCCGGAACGAGATCATTAAGTGCCTCGCTGGAACAGGCGATTAAATCTATATAACACAAACCACTAGAATATACTGTAATTTTATTTCTATACACTACGTCAATTTAATTCACGTTATCTGGAACTCATTATCTAGTGTGTGAGTGACCCAGTCACTAAACTCAATGCTTCAACTGGCATCAAGATGCTTAACTTAACCTAACCTAACCTAACCTACTCCAATCTTTGAATTGACGCCTTCCAGGCCTTCTTGATCGAAGGTTAGCATTTCTTAAAATGAATTACCAAACCTGCGACTGAATGCATCAGGTTCTAGCAGGAGCGGCAACACCGGTACTTCCCTGCACCAAGGAAGATCACCTCTTTTCGAAACTGCTGTCTCTTGATGTTGACCAGACCGCACACTACACGGACGACGACGTTTGAGACTTGAGAATGGTCCAGGACGGACTGAAACGTCGTCGTCCCTTCACTTTCTAGTGTGTGGTCTGGTCAACATACTTCAGCCACGTTACTGTGACTCGTCGCCTGCTGTCCCTCCCTTCCCTCCCAAGATGATTAAAGAACAACCGGAATGCTTCGACTTTAAGGCGAAGTACAATGCCTTAAGCCAGACTGATGCTCTGGTGATAGAGCGCTCTGTCTGCCACCACTTCCCTACACGACTTCACTAGTGCTGTCAGAAGTCAGTCATGGCAACGAGAGACGGCTCCGATTGTGGGGGAAGTGTGTATAAATAGCTGGGCTTCCGCTCTTCAGACAGAATTATTTACCGTACTCCTCGCATTCAAGGGAGTTTATGTATCCAAAGTTGACATGTTAATTGTCAGTGACTATCATCCTTGATGACCAAACCACACATTAGAAGATGAAGAGACGACGACGTTTCGGTCCGTCATGGATCATTATCACAATCGACTTCAGTCAATCAATCGAGTCTATCTCGATCCAATCCCATATTGGCCTCCGAGTGCATGATAGAACTGATGTGTTACAGGAGTTGATTACCATCTTGGATGGCTTTTGAGCAGCCTAAGGACAGTAATATACCGAACACTGTAACATAATTTAGACATATGCCAAAATGAAATTCACACCAGTAACTGCATCCATCATCATCTATCATGCAGGAATAGCCACATGTCTATGAGGCATCCAATAAGGTCAGCAGATTTCTAGACGTTACTATGAGAGGCTTGGGCTCGAACACAAGTACCTCTGGGAGTCTGCGCCACCTGCTGAAGCAGATCTCACCACAGTAAACTCTGTGAGCAGAAATGTTCACACACCTTATGTCACTATGTTAGTGTAGAAAAACATCAGAATTTAGAGATAATTATATTAACAAAAAAATCCCCCTAGATGATGGGGTAGCTTATAAAAAATTGTCCTGCCCACAGGATGGGTATTGGGTCCACTACCGCCTACGGGATGGGCATAGGGTCCACTACCGCCCACAGGATGGGTATTGGGTCCACTACCGTCCACGGGATGGGTATAGGGTCCACTACCGCCCACGGGATGGGCATAGGGTCCACTACCGCCTCAGGATGGGTATAGGGTCCACTACCGCCCACAGGATGGGTATTGGGTCCACTACCGCCCACGGGATGGGCATAGGGTCCACTACCGCCCACAGGATGGGTATTGGGTCCACTACCGTCCACGGGATGGGTATTGGGTCCACTACCGCCCACGGGATGGGCATAGGGTCCACTACCGCCCACAGGATGGGTATTGGGTCCACTACCGTCCACGGGATGGGTATTGGG